AAGATGGATGACCTGAAAATGGAACAAGGAGAGCTGAATAGATAATGCATCTTCTGCTTGTTGCCTACAGGTATAAAGGGACCTGAAACAATTTGTTCATGCTGTCAGACAGTATCCTTTACTGGGACCTAAGAGTGAGAGATTATGTCTGCTAGGATTGTCACTAGTGCATTAAAAATATAGGCTACTTGGATGTCTAGAGAAAGCACAGCACACCTCAGACCAAATCCAGGTCGGGTTTCAGCACTGGGAGTGCTGTAAATTGCGTGTGAATTGTGAAGAGTGTTTTGGAGAGAGGATGGGTGCCCCCAGTGGTACACGCCTGCAGAGCACTGCTGGGCCTACATGGCATTGAGCACAAGGAGACCAGGAGATGGAGCACAAATCTCTTAAATCCTTTGGATTTCCAAAATGAATACCTTCAATTTCTTTTCTCTCTTGTTGTTTGCAGCCACCTATAGTTCTCCTTTTGTGTTTTCGCTTTATTCTGTCACACTTTTTTTCAGCCGGAGAACTTGACGGATGTGCTGGTTTTGCAGACAAACACTACCCCGTAGCTTTGTACAACAGAAGGTAGCTATAGAATTGTGCCCACACATTAGAAATAAGCCCGAGTCAGAAAATGACCAGTGACAAACATTTAATTTTCTCCCACTCCAAATAAAGATGAGATAGCCGATCTTCAAGCAGTTATCTACTCCAACATACACTTGCAGAACATTCCATGCAAATCTGCATACTATTCGTGCATTGGTGGTCTGTTGAACTCGTATAAATAAATGAGTATAGCATTTGTGTTGAATACTTGGCAGTAGCAGCCTAGTAGACTAGGTGCTGTGTGTGTATGATGCGATGTCAGCTCCAACATCCTCTTCTGTCTCAGCAATCCACTTTCATTTGATTTCTTCTTCAGGAAGTCACAGTTGACTGCAGAGTGGATCAGGTGCCAGGCTGAATATCTTTAAATGACTCCAAAAGTCTCATTCAGTTCAGGTTCTAACTCCATACATATAGTTGGGAAAGAACCGGATACCAGTAGTGTACTATTGGTGTGGTTTACTGGACACTGCACGTCAGTCTATCAGCCAGTGCTCATTGTTATGTGTACATGAAATAACTTTGTTACTGACCTGTGTTTTTTTTAGGAAACACATCTAGGGGCGGTAAATTGAGATCTTAGTTGGTTTTCTTAATATTTTTTCAGTTTTAATCTTTTGTATGATTACTTACCTTAAATAAAAATGGAAGCAACCAGTTGAAACTTTTTTTTATTTTGATATAAAGTATTATTGAATACTGAAATGGCAGGAGAATGATTTAATGTGGCATGAATATGTGATTTAGAATTGCATCCATCTGTTATGTTGTAATTCATCACCTTCACTGCAAATGGAAGAAGTGACCTGAGGTTGTATGAGGATCTGCTGAGCCACTTCCCAAACCCATTTCTAATATACTGTAAGGAGCACTGCCAAAGGTCACAGGAAAAGCATCTTCAGGCACGCAGCAGCTATGAGTTACACTCTTTTGTTAGTAAGCTGAGGATGAGAATGAGTTGAGTGTGTGCGCTCAGCTGATTGTCTTCTAAAGTTTCTTGAAAGAATATACAACTGCAGACTACGCTTTCAGTGTACAGTTCCTGCATGGCTGGTGAAGGCGGTGAATACCTGAAAAAATATATATATGTAAGGACTTATGAAAATAGAATGAGAGGGGATAAAAGTAAATGTTGAACAAAATGTATCGATTCTAATCAAATACAGAACTCCTTACACAGTCACAATGGAGACATCTTTGCCTGCCTGCACACAGTGCTACAAAAGTCCTTTTAACGCTGTCCTTGAAAATGCCTTCACTGAGAAATTCTTCTAATGTTTGGGGAGAAGGTAGAACGCGGTATATGTCAGCGAGGTCCCAGAGGGTTTTATTTTGTACTCTAATAGCTGTTACGAGCCTACATTATATCCAAGGAGTAATTTTCCTTGGGGGTGCCCTGCTTGCTTTGTGTCAATATTCTGGCATTTTAAGTCACGTACTGTATATGCTTCTGGGAACAGCTCCGGAGCCAGCCAGACTCATAATGGTCTGCATTCATTAATAAGGCTGCAGCTTCTGTCCCTCCATTGCCCACAACAGGGATGCCTTAGTAGTCCTGGGGGACCTCCCCAGACACACTTAAAGAAGCTTTATTTTCAAGTGGGCAGAAGATAAAATGCAGAACTTACAGGCACATCTGAAGTCAGCTCTGCGCCCAAGCACACTGATAACCTTAATGGGTCGGAGATCTATGCAGGTCAAAAGACTTATTATCCTGCCTGTCGGAAACCAATTGCCTTGCTAAAAAGAAACCTGCCGTGGTGTTTAAACGGTTGATGGTAATGTGGAATTGTGCTGGCCTGCCAGCATCTGTTTTGTAGTTCAGTACACTGCGGTGACATGAATAAAGGAGACAGCACTTAAAGGCTGCCCATACAACAGCAATAATAAACAAGAAGCAGCATATCAATACATATTTGCAGGACAGGATTGCAAAGGAAAGGTGCAGTCCCTCTGGATGCTGAGCCAGTTGCTTTTAGTCCAAAACAACAACAAAAAATGTTCCCAGTTCATATTCTTAGCAGAGTGCTTTGGCAGGAAAAGTTCATTACAGGTGTGTCAAGTCTGTAGTGTTAAAAAATCCAAGACCATGTTTTAAACTAAGCACGGCAAGTGGGGCATGTAGTTTGCATTAAAAGGATTAGCAGACACTTCAAAAGATGACCTGGATTTCCCCCACTAGGGACACACGCCCAGCCCTGCTTCTCTTTAAAGAACCTCATCCTGGATTTCCTGCTTTTCCAGCTTGGGTTTAACCAGAATGAGCGAGTTTATTATTGGAGAGAGAGGCAAACTTCAAGGTTGCACAGAGCGTAAGAAACTAACATATACAAGAGGTATTAATGACTAATTGAACAATACCACTGGTTAATATGAACTAGATAATGATCCATTTAGGCTGATTTCCCTTCAGTATATTTTCTTAATTTTACAGCAAATGTAGCCTTCTTTTTAAAAACGAAACTTGATTTGACTAGTTATTTTTTCACATTTTGGTTGGTTGCCTGCAATAAAATGTGAGTTAAGCGTATTGTAATTTGTGAGGGATTCTTATTTTATTAGCTTTTTTTCTTAATTTTGTACACCATCTGTAGTGGTCAAGGTTTGGCAGTCAAACTCTTTGAATCCATTTGTATAGCCTTCATATTGACAAATCAGGTAACAGTTCTAACAATATCACATCATCAACCAGCTGATTTTGACCATTAACATTCAGTATCAATTAATTTGATCATATTACTTTAAGGTTAATGTCAAAATCTGTTGTCAATAATGTGTAATGTTGTTTAAGAGTTATGCAAACATGCAAATAACAGAACTGATTTAAACAGTTTAATTCCATTATAAGCAGATTTGGATTTCACACTGATATAAATGTCTGTTTCATTTTAAAATGGCACTTCTTAAAATCAATGTTTAGATAGGAATGCCTTCATCTGGTGAACTGTAGAATCAGTCCCTTTTCAGTTTGTATATCATGTATCTGTTATTGCATAAATATATAAAATACTATTGGAGTCCAGGATGCAACTGGTGTTGACAAAACATGTCCTTCTTAATCTTCATATTTAGACATCTGGCTTACAGTCACTTGAGGCAGAATATATGACACCACATAGTTAGCATTCAAGTATTAAATGGGCACAGAGACTGTACTCACTCTCATCCTACACCATGAAGTGTATCCCAGAAAAAAGTGTTTCAGGAAAATATCCAACAATCTATAAACACATTTTCTTTTTGGTTTATCTTCCAATCAAGACCACAAAGTTCTTTGTTTGCCTGAGCTGAATAATGAAAAAAAGACATGTTCGGTAGCATAGATTGCTAGAATACCCCATTTACTGGAAACATTTTTCTCATTGCATGTCTGGCTTCAGCAAACTAGAAAGAAAAAAAACAGTTTCTCTGAGCTCTCTTCTCAAGTCCTTAATTGACCTCTCTGAAACACTTCTTTTCAGTTGCCAATGTTATTTCCCTTTCTAAAAGACTATTGCACCATTGAGTACTGATGAAAAGGGCCACAGTGTGTAATATTACAATTGCTTCACAATGTTCAAACTCATTAAGTGTATAACCAACATTTCAATTACATGCATTTATATCAGAGTCTTAAGCAGGTTTACCACCTGGCTGGGGATTAAAATTTACAAGTCTGTGACAGCTGTGAAATTCAAAGTTAAACTCTGGGAGCTTGTGAAACAAGAATTGGTTCACATCTTTACAACAGTTAAAATCCTACAGAAAATTTCCTTTGTAGTCACACTGCAGTTGCATCACTGATAACATTTCTAACCCCTAAATCACAACCTTAGTTTTACTTCACAAAACAGTAAATATGAACAGCACACTTATTAACTGCACAGTTAGTAACACAGAATTTTGCAAGAGTATGAAGAAGCCGGAGAAAAAGCCATTTAATAATCAGATATAAGCAGTTTCTGTGCATTCATGGCAAGCTTTTCATAACTGATAGTTTTTCATAATACAAAATCTGAAAATGCTCAACACTTAACAGCTCTGAAAAAAAGTATTTCAAACCCCTTTACATTAAATGATTTTACTACTTTAATGTAAATGTTTACTACTTATTCCAATGATTTAGGAAACAAATATTAATTTTGGATGTGCAGGTACTGCTGAACCAGGAATAAACATAATATATACTGTATTATACAAATCAAATATTTGGAAAATAGGTGATTCAAAAACACTATAATTTGCAAGTACTGTAAGCAGTTGATTTAAGTTTGAATATTCTTGTATAGAATCAGTTTATTTGTCTTGAGTGCAGGGCTTACAGTGACAACACACATCAAGGACTATTCATCTTCATTGAGTGATCTGTGAATAAAAATTGGAACTAATGTTTTTTTTCCTTGTGTTTTTTCTCATCCACACAGAACCATACAATGAGCCAGCACAGCAGCTAACATGGTGGATGTCTCGTTGTGAGGAAAGCTGCGAGTCTCAAAAAAAAGATATGGATCACTTACTTACTCTTTGCACGGAACTATCATTGCAATTGTACATGATAACAGAAACCTTGTATTGTAAGAAATAAAACCCTGTATTATAAAAAAAAGTGATACAAGATAGCATTGAACATTGTGTATTTGAATTTTTAAGCACCAGGCTGACTTAATGTAAATAAAGTATCTCACATGTGTTGTTACTTCTCCAGCTACCAGACACAAAACGTTCTTATAATACCCAGGACACAGACTCTATTCCAAAGACTAGCATTTTCAATCGAATGAAATAGGATCCGCTTGGTCAGAAAGGAATAAGGACTCATATTGACTTATTAAAGAAGACCACCACAATTATACTTTTTTAAAAACCAGCTTACTTCTGTTGAACATATTGATCAGATTTTTACTTGTAGAAAGTAACATTTAGATTTTGTACACATCAACAAAGAAAAACTTCAGTTTGTCCCATAAATGGGGTTGTCATCATGCATAAAACTCATTATAGAACAGAAACTAGACTTGATAAAGGTGGCTCTCTGGATGTGGTCTAAGCGGTATACCGTTAGCATTTCTCATATATGCAATGGTTGTAATATAGATTGGAAACACTTCTTTTCTTGTGGAAACTGACAGAAGCTTAAGCCTCCTGTAATAATTCCAGCACGGCCAAATCTCAAGTCAATTAAACGAACCTGTATGTTACTGTTATTAATGTTTACTCTCTAGTCTGAACCTGGAGATTACTGGAATTGTTTTTGCAATAGGAAATAAATCCAATTTACCTTTAGGTACTGGAGTGTGTTTTTTTATTCTTCATTTTTGGTATGTAATTATAAAACTGTTCTTCTCGCCACCTCATGGATTGTGGTAAAGCCCTTCAATCACATGGCCTTGTGTGACATTCCATTGGTCTTTTAAAGCTGTAAGACATTTTGAAGTATTCCATTCCATTATTTAATATATTTACTATTATTTGAACTTGAGAAGCACTTTTGTATAATAATGCAATGCTCTAAATCTTAAAATCTGTCGATTTTAGGGTAACTGGAAATATTCTCTTTGACAAGAGCTTGGAATATTAAAAAAGTACTACACTTCTAATATGACTTAATCTGTTATAGAAACGTAATGAACAAAGTTCTGAATTTAGAAGAACTTGTTTTGGTGTTGCACATGTGATGCATATTAAAGCTCTCTTGTGAAAAAAGAAGTCCTATTTCGTGTCAACTTGTTAAAATATTTCAGATGGGATGTGATTACAACAAACTGTAACATAAATAATGCTTGAATAAATTTGACATCTTTGTGTTATGTTTTTGTTTTATAATCTACAAATAAAATTCATAATTTGTGTCATGTACGGTATGTGTTATCCCTTGTGGTGTTAAGATGTAGAGACAAACTGCTATTTTCTCCTCCTCCATCCACTCAAAAACTCAGAAATAGGAGTAAGATTGCTATTACAAATTATCTAAGAGAATTCCTTGCTGTCTGTAACTTTTTTTGTTTTTTTCCTTTCTGTGTAAACAGAAAAGCATTACAGCACAGGAGTAAAGGGCTTTGTCAGTTTTATATCTACTTTTAGAGTCTTACCAATGAGATCCACAGGAAAAATAGTGAGCGAATTATCAGAGCTGTAACACAAGTAGCCAAAAAGCAAGTTACTGTGTGTCTCGGGTGTACAGTATAAGACCTCATTACTGTCTATGGAACAGCCTTCACTAGAGGGCTGGATAGCTTTGTATGATTGGCAGCTCCTGCATAAAAAACTACCTCCGCAAAGTGTTTACATTTTTGCATTTTGTCTGTTGGTCTGACATTTTGAATATATTTACTGTAATTTTATTTAAATTGAACAATGTCATTACGCTATAGAAAAGGAAAAGACAGTACTCACTTGCAAATGCATATTGTATCTGAATAAACAAACTCAAAACTTATCCTCAACTTCTTAAAGGTGGTGCCTACAGGTAACACACAAACGCTTTAGGGTTGCTGTGATATTATATTTTTCACTAGTTACTCCCATAATTCCACTTTTTAAAATATTTTTTATTGATACACTGATCAGTGAATAGAATGGGTAGCAATTGTGTTGTGTCCTCAACATGATTGTGGCTTGTAGTGCATATACAGTGTAAGTTTATTTCTATCAATCTTACACTGCATATTCCTATCAATCACGCTATTTGTCCATTTTGTTTCAGTGGATTTCAAGTTCTTTTATAGACCTCTAATGCTTTTGCCAAAATGTGCTTGGCAAACATGAAGTAATTTATTTTATCCCTAAAAACATGAATAGACCCATCAAAAGTGTCAAAAAGCTTTTGTATTGCAAGTCTTGTCAATGAAGAAAATAAGACCGCTATGAGAACATCTGGCCAAACTATTGTATAACTTGTATAACTATACAAGGCAGGTTAATTATACTTTTCTGTGAAGGTCCTACAGTTACATTATTCACAGATAAAATACCAAATTACTGTACTGATATTTTGTTTATTATACCATAGATGCAGATATTGTGGCTGAAGATGGACTACATGCCATTAATCTGAACACACCTGAAATGGACCGTTTCTGTGTAAATGCCTTGAGCAGACTAGCGAAAGTGTATGACAAAGCCCCACAGCAGGATACTTTACACGTGCATAAAGGAGAAGGTCTCAAGCTGTTTCAAAACAAATCGTTGTGATTTTCACTCTTGTTGCATGCTGATTGAATGTACAGGTCCTAGCTTAATGACCCTTAAACAGCTTAAAGCAGGAGCACTGACAAGCCATGATGAGGTCTGAATCCTTCTTTCATACCGTAACTTTGTATAGGAAAAAATACGCTGTAGTATTGCTGGACAAATATTGATAAAGCATTGTGTACATAATGACAATAGTACTGTATGTGCTATTTATGCTCCGTGACAATACATTCTTTCTAATGAACTTAGTCATGAGGTTTGTTACAAGATGGCTCTGCCTTAGGGAATTTTTAACTTTTCCTAACTTGAAAATATAAAACGAGGAAAACAATTGTTATTAATAACTCTGTTACAATTAATCCTCTGTACTCTCTTGCATGTGCACACACAACATGCCAATTAGAGACCTGGCATCACCCAGGGAGGGGAATGGATAAAACTGCCGCCTTCTATATCAGACATTACTTTTTCCTTTTAAAAGTGATGGAAGAACAGCTGTTGTCTCAATTGATTTATAATTATATCATTAGACCACAATCCTGCCTGTGCCAGTACATATTTAACTTGAAACAGCTTTATTATTTCAATCTTCCGCTTTTACAGAAACAGTTTTCTTTTGTTTCTCTTAGTAGTAGTATTAACAATATTTCTATGACTATAACTTCCCTTTAATGGGATTGATATCAAAATTGAAGTTAGCACTTTGCTCACAAAGTATATTATAAATTGTGAGTGGAACACTTAAGACTATGTTAGTTTTTCAAGAAGGAAATCTATAATAATGGAAAGATTATAGCAGCAATCAAACTTTTTAGCAAGACATCAAAACCCACAAAAGTAATGACATGAATTAATGCCTTTCCTAATCACCCAGAGCACAGCAAATTCAAATTAAAGGCTCATTTTAGTGACAATAAATATTATAATATATATGTATAATAATATACATGATAATGTAAATTT